AATTCTTAACACGCTACAAACTTGAGTTAACAAATCGTCACGATAGTTCACATCGAGGGCAACAAATCAGTTATCACTAATAAGCATTTAACATATTTTATCGATTTCTTCCCTCACTTCCATGTGTAAATATGTCTACGGGTTCGCTTTGATCACTCCTTGCTGTTTGCAGAAGCCACAAGTGCGTAAGCCAGTGCGATGCCAGTTTGACAGCTACACAAGAAGGATAGTGTGGCCTCTATGGATCGAATCGAGCAAGGATTCTGCCTTGATTTGAAGGGTTCTGCGCTACAAACACTGCTGCCTAGTGTATGTACTTATTCCCTGTAAACGTTATTTAACGAGGAATGTCTTCTATCAATTCATATAAATTCGCGAAAAAAATGCTCCTGTCCTTAAGGCATGCTTTACAACAGAGCGGGGTTGTTAGTACTACAGATCATCACAATGCAATGTGCTTTATCGACCTCTTTTCCTACGTTTTTCATTGCTTATACGTTAGAAAGACTTAGCTTTGTGACCTGCAAGACTAAGAAGAATCAGCTTGTCCAGCAATTCATTAGATACATAATAAAATTTCGCAGATCATTGAGGACGACGGTAGTAAAGAAACAAATCGAAAACCAAAATTGCCGCTGTATCACGCACGGTAGGTCTGATAACGATCCATGTAAATAACAGATAAGCATAATGAATTAGTCTCTTCGAAAGTGAACACGCAAGTGTGTCAAAAGGTTTATTCATAACATATGCCAACGATTCGGCTGCCACGCAGGCGAAAAATAGCATACAAAGTCTGATAGCATAGTAAATCAACTTCTGCAGTACTCACTGTTCTGTCGCTGTTCTGACCTCTTCCGATTAATTTTGGATACAATCCGCATACACGAGAAGTATGCCTGGATCAGATCCAAAGATCCATATGAGACATGACGCGATCACGCCAAGCCACTTATTGTGGCCGTTCATTTCCCAATCTTGGCATTACTCCAAAAAATTGTGGTGGGATAGTGCATTGGTCGGTGATGTGATGCAGGAGGAGGTATAGTGATAAGCAAAGCGCTGGTTCAGTCGCTTTCCCAGCACATTTGTGATCATTAACGGAACGGATTAGAAAATGTTTCAGCTCGGCTACCACCAAGACTATAATGTAAAACGTATCGAACAATTTTTTTTTCAAAATGATAAATGGGATGATTTTATCTTTACTTTGGTGAAGATTTTGTTCTCTCTACATAACACAAGAGCCAGGCATAACGAGTGCTGTTCCTATCTACAATACATCTGGAATAGGCATTTGTGCGAGAGCAAAGCATCAGACTGGTGCCTTAGTGTTTTAGAAAGGAGCACACAGAGCAAGAAGATGCTTGATTTGCTGAGACACAGAAGCGGTAGAAACATCTCAAACTTTGTTAGTCCCATGGTCAGCCCCATATAAGTGCAGTCTTGTCCTGAATTTAGGAATGTTCTGGGAACGTGAGCAACTATACCAGATTATAAAAGAGCATATGAGTCTTTGGCAAGACTGGTATCACAGGAAGAGAATTCCATGTTTTTAATGGTTAGTAATGTGATATCTGCCATCTTTTATCGTTTCATCGATTCTAGCATGCATAGCTTTGGTATGCCGAGAAAAGCGTAGAGTTGAAGTCGAAATGAAATCCTTATGGCCAAATATTTAGCACTTTATACGGAAAACCGTCTACCCTCCAATGAATCCAATGAAGAACGAATTATGCTTTCTGAACAAGGTCGAAACAAGTGGATAATTGCTGTTCAAAATGATCAATTGTAATACCAAAACGTCTACCATTTAAGTCATTTCGAAAATCTTTTTACATACCAAAATGCTCTCTACTTGCCTGAGTTAACTTTCGTATCAATTGTTTCTATATTTGAGAAGCGCAGAGGCCGAGTGGTTGTGACGCCTGTCACGGTGCGCCTAGGCATAGCTCTACCCCCCAACCTTTTCCGGCAGTCAACAACAACGCCATATGTGACGCCACTGCCAGGCTTTTCTCGAAACTGCAACGAAACTCGTTTAACCAGCATCCTACACCGTTCAAGAAGAAGACAAATAAACGAACTCAATGCTAGAAGTACTGAGATATGCACAGTGAAAAAACACTGTCATGACGAATCAAATAAAGTGCTCAGAAGTGATAAGTTTCTATACATGAGCTAACCTCACATGGACTCTCCATCGAATCTTTTAATCGTTGTGTTGGTGTGTTTGCAGGTGCTCAGAACAGTTGCCAATTTTCTTGCATCTTATACTGCGTGGAACTCTCTATGAACTAGTCTTGTGTCAATTCTTCGACATGAGAGAAGTAGAAGCCTGTTAATTCTCCGCATTAGCAAACAGAGAAAAGCACGAAGCATGACCAGAAATTATGACTTCTCTAATTTACTATTCCACCTTTTCGGAGAAAATTGGAGATTTCAGCAGATACGAACAAGGCAATATTGCGACATTCCTAAGCTATCATGTAATGAAAAAGGATGTCGTAAATCCATTATCTGCTCAATTTTGTCGTGACTCCATTGCGTATCAATTATATAGCTAGCTGGCAGCCACACATGGCACAACGAACGCTTCAAAAGTTGGGCAAATTGGGCTACAAAGTTTTGCCTCGTCATTCATATAAGAGAACGCTCGCAAGGACTTGATGAGATTAGTGTCAATAGAATTGACAGAACAATGCTTCATCACGCTTTGGTTGAACCTCTACGGTGATATTCTTGACACTTGATAGTTTTGGAATAGCTAAAAATGCTCTCTGCAAGCCATGCTTCAATCTGATGTTTACACCTTTAACAGAGTACAAAGAAAAGGTTGACCTTATTCTTTTCATTTTTAATACTGGGTTGCTGCATAATTTCTTCCGTATCTCGACAATTTTGTTAATTTGAATGTTACTTATTCAAAAAAATCGAAGAAACTCAATCGTTAACTTGGTCATCATCATGATCATCGATATATCATTTGTTGAGTAAGGATGGGACACTTTAACTTTCAGAAAACATCGCCTAGTAATCAAAAAATCGCTGCGCTAACTTTCGTGCTAAACTTTTTTTCCCACAGATACTGCCTCAAGGCACGGTATAGACGATAATCCGATGGACAATGTGAGGGCTATATGGTGAATGTGGTACCATGGCCCAGATCCGTTTCGCCGTAATCTGGAGAGTCGAATTTGCACTGTGAGCTGGTCGGTCAGTGCATAAGGTGTCCATTGCAATATCATTTAGTAGTTACCTATTAGATTTTAATGGCGAGCGATGATGCTATCGCTGGATCCAAATATCTCACTAGATAGTGGGACATTCTCCATAATTTTGTAGCCTTTTGACAATAACTCGATTCAACTTAGAAAACTCCATGGGATGATTGATTTTTGAACATAAAGATATTGCACATTTCCACCAATGTAAAACAGAACATGCTTTGACTAATGTCTGTACAAGAGGGCTGAAAAGCAGTGGTAACCGCATTAGTGATGATCGTTGAGTAACCCCAGGAAAATGAACAGTTATTTGATGATGATTGCAGATCACTGAAAGAATTGTACTGATGCCGGTCACGAACGTGAAGAGTTCATGTGAATTAGTATTCGACGGTGTATTAGTCAATCTTGGTACAAATGGACACTTTTGTAGTTCAAAAGAGAATAATGTGGGACTATTTGTGCGAAAATAATCGTCTACAGCTGTAGAACGTGTGTTGAATGAAGGTTTTTTTTTGAAAGTAAAGAAGATATTATGGCAATGAAAATAAGACAGTCTCGTTTCGATGGTACAAGCCAAAACAACGAGGAGTGAAAACTATCATAAGAGTTCTGCATCTGTTTCACGGTTACCTTTTTCGCCACGAGTAAATGACCAAGCAGTGATCAGTTAAGAAATGAGTCAAAACTCGCACTAAGCTGGAGAGGAGTAATAAGCTTTAAGTCACTTCCAGATGGAGAGAAGAGAGCTTTTGAGGTCTTCATAGGTGGCCTTTACAGGAAAACTAATCGAGTGCAGGAAGTGTTAGAACCCGCACACTGTGATAATTGTGAAGTCAGTTTATTTGATTGATAATGTAATGAATGAAGTGTTCTATAAATTACTGACCTACAAATCTTATTGAAGTCGCTGGAACAACTGCTTTTTGAGAAAAGTTGTTACCAATTCATCAATCTCTGGAACACATTCATTCAAGCCGCCAATGAAATTCCCCCAAAACCGGTGTATTGTTAGTAGCAAAGAATCGATAAAATAATGAATTCAATAGTCAAAAAAAAAACTCTCCAGTCTTAGTAGAGTGAAAGGACATAAGCCATGGAAAATCATAATAAACCATAATATTGCAAATAGTGTAATACTCGAACAATGAAGGCAAAACTAGGTTGAAGTAGTCAAATGCTTGGAATGCTTAGCTGCACGATGGTGCTATGGTGTGTCACATGGTCGAAATGACTTGTTGTTTGCTTCTTTTCATTATGGGCAGTAATATCAAATGATCAAACTATATTCTCGACCTATCCTAATCACTGGCCACATATTGTTCACTGGCTTATCAACTTTGTTTATCATGTTATTAAATAATATGTGAAATATGTCGATCGATGCCATCGTACCTGAATATTCGGTTGTCCAACTTCACGAATAACAAAGAATGAGGCGAATCGAATCGTATCACTTCTATGTGACTGGTTAGGCAATGACTCTCCTTCTCTTGAGCTTCTTAAGTCTGCCCGAGCCATTGATGAGAAGAGTGGCACCTCCGAAACCTACGTACGGCTCTGACGTACTAAGCCCAGTAAGGCTTTAGATATTCTCACGGTCTAATTGATTATCACTCTACCTTCAGTGACCAAAATAGGAAAGAAACTCAAAAAGCTTGATAGGCTTTGAAATATTTTGAAAGTCAATCGGTTTTCATTTATTTGACCGTCCTTGCGGGTGGTATGTTCTTATGATGTACTCAATAACGTGGAAACCTGTGCAAAAACAGTTGCATCAGCCGGGATTCAAACCCAGATCTCATTCTTTCTGGGAGCTTATGCTGTGCTAACCGTTGCACTACCGACGCTCGTTTTGTGCAACACTCGTTCAACGCTACAATGTGTTATCTGTCAGCAGCAAACCATCGACGGTCTGGCGGGGCAGCCGCTATCGGCATTGAACCCACTTTTTGCACAGTACTTTACATTGTTCGGTATATTATAAGACCATACCACCACAAGAGGCGGTTAAAATGAAAGCCGATTGATTATTGATACCCATTATCTGCCAGCAAAAGTGGGTTTAATGCCGACAGCGGCTGCCCCGTAAGACCGTCGACGGCTTGGTGTTGACAGATAGAGCATTGTAGAGTTGAACGAGTGCTGTGCGAAACGAGCGTCGGTGGTGCAACGGTTAGCATGCGCTTCCGTAAAGAGTGAGATCAGGGCTCGAATCCCGGCTGACACAAGTGTTTTGCACAGGACTCTACATTAATGTGTACATTTGAAAGTGTCAAAATCAAAGAACCACGTGCAAAGAAATCCGTACGCACGGCTGTCTGGAGGTTAAGTCCATTGATGTGTTTGACCACTTTTTGATTATACACTTCTGCTTTTACCAGTAAGAAGAGAAAACAGAACTGCTATGCAACTTTAAGTTAGGTGGGACTTGAACCCACATCTCACCATATTCGCGGGCGCGCGCTCAACCGTTACACCATCGACGCCGATACTGAAATCATTCTTTCGACGCACAACGCATTGAGTCCCATCTTACGTAGAATTTTTTGCACACTCATCACGGGGTATATTTAATACCATACCACCGCTAAAGGCGGTCAGAAAAGAAAGAATTCTCTTTATTATTGTTCGAGCCGACATCTCATGTGGTGTGGTAATGGGCTCTGTACAATGCGATACGCGTGTTTCAACCTTACAGTCTCGTCAGTCGGGCAGACCCGTCCGTCTTTCAATCTTTTTAGCCAATCCTTTAGGCAGCCCTACTCTTCCTATTGAGCGGTAGCAGAGACAAACAATTTACACTGTTAGTCAGGGGAATTATCACCAGACTTACAGTGTTGTGCATCGATTGCTCTTTGGCTGGAAGAGCCCATTACTAGAACACATGAAATACTTGCTCTAATAATCAAAAGAACTATTGAAATTTTAGCGTGGTCTTAATAAAACACTCGAATAACGTATAAAAATAAATCTTATCTATCAATACCCAATATCTGTAGCATGAGCGGGTTCAATGTCGATAGCGACTTCTTACGTCAGACCGTTGACGGTCGGCTGCTGACAGATAATTGCGCTGCAGAGTGGGAAGAGTGGTGTCAACGGTTAAGCACGCGCACCCAATAAGGTGTAATGTGGGTTTGAGTCCGAACTTACGGAAAAGGTTTTGCACATCACTTATATCACAGATCATATTGTAACATCATAATGCCGCTAAAGGTGGTCAAATAATTAGAGCTCTGCTTACTTCGGAATTATTTTGATATAAATTATGTGAAAAACCTTAGAAGTTACTATCAGTATTTGTTCAATGTTTCACAAACCGTCGTTCCTCTTTTAACAGTGCATCTAGATATCACCTGTATCACCTTCGTTCCGCTGATCGTCGAGTGATTCGAGCGGATACCAGCAACACTTACATTTTTCCCTAACGCGTGCAAGAGTAGCCCAGTGGGTTCTCCTCGCTCTGGGGATTCGATGAGCATCATATCTTTCTTCTGTAGCTTTCGCGAAGAAATCGGACCAACGGGTCGGTGGTTTTCCTGTAGAGCACTTGATGGATGTCCCGAGGAATCCAGTCGGTAACGGCTCTCGTCCATCGGTTGTTCGCTGAAGCGCATCACGTGTCCTGCCCACTTTATTTTCGATATCTTGGCGAGTAGAACTGCGTCTCCGATTTTCGATTGTTTCGTTTCGATCTTGGCAGCCTAGTTTGGCTATGAGATTTTAGCAGCCTCTCCGTACTCGTCCTATTTGGCGCTGCCGTACCAGAAGCTCTTCGGGGTCAGGGGAATGAGGTCCATATTTGCTACTGTTTTTGGCATTTCGATACCCAACGTATAGCTTTCCAGGCTCTGAAACGTGGGGGCTAGGTACTCACGAGTATCTTGCCAGTCTCTCTCGGAGGAGCGAAAAGAGCTTATTTGTTGCAGGCTACTCCTAACCACCTCCAATGCACTTCCCAGTCGCTTGATTGCAGGCTTTTGCAAGGAGCTCGTCCTCTGAATCCACTTGTGTCTCTGGGAAGCACACGCTCGCTTTTGGTTCGCGTTATTCCCCTATCCACTACCTGGGGACGCGCCACGTGTCCCTCACGACTAACCGGGCAAGATCCTCAAAGAGGGAGGTACGTGGAGCTCTGGCTAAAGATTAAAGGCGCAGGGTTCTGCGCGACTGACGAGACTCTAAGATCGAAGCACGTGTATCGGGCTATACAAGGGCCCATTAACTCCTTACGACCAAGTTGAAATTTGGGCGCTGCACGCGACGTGGTCGCGTGGCGAGCTGCATCCACGATGCGGTATTCTTCTTATGAAATTTTTACTTTTATTGTCACTAAAAGGATTTTAATCGCCAACAAGTCGAAAATGCTGGAAAAAAGGAGTTCACCAAACATTTTTTGGTAGGAACATCGCAGACTTTTAACTCCGAGAACCTCGCGTCCTCAAGAAATAGTTAGATACTTTTGAAAATGTGATGTTTCATACTTAGATTAAACACTTTTATACCTTCTTATCCATAATTATTTATTGATCAGTCATGATTATCGTTTACTTCTCATACTGATAACTTTCAAGAACCTCCATTTTTAGGGATCCCGCCCGGTTAGTCGCGATTGCACGGGGCGCGTCCCCAGGAGGTGGATAGGGGAATTAACGCCAACCAAAAGCGACTGTGTGCTTCCTAGAGGCGCAGGTGGATTCAGGGGATGAGATCCCTGCTTCTGCGGTACCGATTTGACAAAATTCTAATTCTAGGGGTCAAGCCCATATTTGCTGTTGTTTTTGGCATTTCGATCCATACTCGGCAAAAATCCTCCACCAATACTACTCGGATCTCTTCGCTAGCCATGTCCTCTTACCGTCATATAAATTGAAAGAGGACGAATATGTCGTCCCACCGGTCCTTCCTTCCGAAATCCGACATGCTATATCGTCGGTGAAGAACAGAACAACACCCGGTCCAGACAGGATTAGACCAGAACATCTGAAGAATCTGCCGCCAGTTCTCATCAACACCTGGCTCGGCTCTTCACTCGCTACCTGTCAGAATGCAAGGTCCCTATTCAGTGGAAAACCAGCAAGACCGTATTGTTGGTCAAAAAGGGAGACCTTCACGACATAGGCAATTATCGCCCAATCTGCTTGCTGTCCGTTGTCTATAAACTCTTTACTCGAGTCATCCTGAACAGGATTGACAGAACACTGGACGAAGGACAGCCATGCGAACAAGCAGGGTTCCGAAAAGGATTTAGTACCATGGACCACATCCACACGATTACAAGACTCATCGAAGTTTCACGAGAGTACAAACAACCACTCTGTCTCACTTTCATCGATCTGAAGAAAGCCTTTGATTCAGTGAAAACAGAAGCGGTTATAGAGGTTCTGGATAACCAGGGCGTCCCTACTCGGTACATAATGATCCTTCGTGAGCTTTATAAAGATTTCACGACCAAAATATCTCCATTCTACAACAATATCACCATTGACGTAAGAAGAGGGGTTCGACAAGGCGATACAATATCGCCAAAACTATTCACTGCCACCCTACAAAACGTCATGCGAACTTTAGAATGGGACGAAATGGGAGTGAAAATTGACGGTCGACAATTAAACCATCTTCGCTTTGCTGACGATATCGTTCTCATAACACCAAACATCAGCCAAGCGGAACGAATGTTCACCGATTTCGATAACGCCTGTGGAAAGATTGGCCTTCAATTGAATCTAACGAAAACAATGTTCATGAGAAACGGATGGGTTTCTAATGCCCCATTCACGCTCAACGGAACGACAATCTCCGAATGCTCCAGTTACGTCTATATAGGTCGTGAAATCAACATGATGAGCGACCTAGCTCCAGAGTTGAGCAGGAGGAAACGAGCGGCTTGGGGAACGTTTAAAAGCATCGAAGATGTAGTGAAGAGGACAAAGAACATCCGACTCCGTGCCCACTTTTCGACTCGAAAATTATTCCTGCCCTGACGTATGCAGCAGAAACCTGGTCGCTACTTATGCAGGATGAAAGATCACTTGCCGTTATCGAACGCGCAGTCGAAAGGTCGATGCTAGGAGTATCCCGTATCTCGCAAATGAGAGAAAGGATCCAAAGTTCACATTAAACGTGTACTTATAAAATTAACTTCATGGTTAAAACTGCCTAAGGGATTTGATGTAGAGTCTTCCAGGATGATTATAGCAAACAACTAAAGAAGAATCAACAAATGATCAAGGAACATCAGTGCGACACTGAGGAGGCGCGCCAAATGAAAGAGGACGCCTCACAACTCAGGGACCTCGAGCGGAGGCTACGTTAATAAGTGCCCTGCGGTCTCATTGTTTATTTCCACATTTCTACTGCTCGCTTTCTTTTGGATCAGCTGAATCGGAAAATCAGCACTTAGCCAAGGCCAGTTAAATATTATTCTCTCAGAAGAAGCAGTTAGAAAAGGATAAAGACAAGCCGCTGGACGAGAATCGGGTATCGTTCTGTGTCAATTTGTTGTCTAGTTCACAGTGTCCAATATTGACTTTATAGGTGAATCTTAAGGACTTCTTTGACCTTAGGCGAGGTTGGTGGTTGTAGTAGTAGTAATTATATGGCTGACGTTTCATGACTTCCACTGTCCAGGCTCCGTAGAAAGCTAAGTCGCCATAACAACAGCCATCGAACTATCACTGTTAATACGAACTGTTTTTCAAACAAAGGAATTCATTTGATATAATGTAGGTCTTCTAAATTCTAAACATAATTTCTGGTCAGTGATCATAAAGTGCTTATTATTTAGCCAACATGTCATGTGGTCTGTTAAATGGGCTGACTTATAGAGCCCGATACACGTGTTTCG